CATCCCAAGACATTACTGAAAAGACTGGATGACACTTTCCGGAAGTACAGGGGCATAATCTCCTTGTGGGGGAAATTTTGACCATTGGAAAACATCAGTTGGGAGGCATCTGGGCAGATACATCCTCTGTTCTTCCTCTTGCCTCAGAGGATAGTTTCTCCTCACCATGCAAATGGATAACATCCAAGCAGATATGCGGGCTGAGCAACCCTCTGGATCTCTTCACGACTTGCCATGGAGCAAAGACAGCATCATTTCAGATTGCTTCACATCCTTCCTTGCCAGGAATTCTCAGACACACATTTCAGCAGAGTTCAGGTCTAAATTTTACCACCATTACTTCCTTTCTTGATCTAAGACTCTTTTTTTCACATAAATTTTGGGTAAGAAATTGCTAAGACCTATGACACAAACATGGATAAACAAGTGGAAAACCCATGCCTTGGACATAAGTCCAGTGTTCCTGGAAGCCTCTTTTGCAGACCAGGCTCTCTGAAAAGTGGAGAAGGATAACCCAAGTAAGGAAACATCCCAGCTGTTCTATCTTAACAAGCAATCGTCTAAGCTAGAAAACTCAAGCATCCTCATCTTTTTCTCCCACACTTACCACATCCTTTCCATGACCCTTGCTGGTCAATGGAGCTTACTAATATTTTTTAATGCCCGTGGTCTTTGTCCCATTATCAACTTATTCAGACTCTACTCACCACTTGTCTAGACAAAATCCTCAGAACTGCTGGTTAGCCAGACTCCAGGCTCACACTACTTGAATCCATCTTCCAAATTGCTGCTAGACTTTCTAAAATATAAGGCAGAGTGCTTTGCTCCTCTGCTTACAAATCCTCAATAACTCCTCACCGCCTCTTAGAGAAAGCCTTCGGTTAAATTCGTTCTGTGACCATCCGCCCTTTCCCCACCGGTACGGAGTAATTACAAGAGTATGATCAATATTAGGGGGGAAAATGCTATGTAATAAGAGAACAAGGAAACAATCTTACACTGGCTGGGATAGTGGGCACTGTTTTAAAACAGGTATTGCTATCTGAGCAGTCTTTTTCTGAAACTAGAATTAGAAAGTGTTTCCAAACCATTGACTCTTTACTGTTCTTTCTCCTACATAAGGATGTTCACTCTGGTAGAGTACAGTATTGTCCTGCACCCCCCGCACTCCTCCCTTTTGGGGTTGGGGGTTATACATGCACACCCCCGTGTGGCTTGTCGTGCAACTTCCGCTCCTTCCTGCAGGAGGATCATACTTTCCCGCCTCATTTGAAAGGCTGTCAGTCTTGGCCGCTGTGGTTTCTTTGTCCGGTGAAGTGTGAGTGGAAATGTGTGCCTCCTCCCGGAAGAAGCTTTCAGAGTCAGTGTGTGGTTTCTTCATTTCCTTTTTGCCCTTTACTATGACACCATCCTGTTGCAGATAGAGGCAACTCTTTCATTTTGGGCCCAGAACAAAGATTATTTGAAGTAGAACTGCAGCTAACCCACAACGGACAAGTGATATGAATGAGAATTTTGCTGCTATTACATCTCTGGGATTTGGGAATTGATTGTTACTGTAGTAAAACCTAGTCTAAACTGGTCCCTACGTTCATTTGCAAAGTGTTTCAGCTCTCTGTTGCTGTTTACAATCTGCCCTGAAATTAGTGGCTTACAACCACAATAATCTTTTAGTTTGCTTACAAATCTGCAGCGTAGGCAGGACTTGGTGGGGTGGGGAGAGTCAAGGGTAGCTTCTTTCTGTTCGTGCTGCATGAACGAGTGCAGCTCAGCCGCCTAGGGCTGGAAGCACGAGATGGCTCACTC